CATCTCAGACTGTGAAGCTAGTTGATGAGGGTTCGAACATATCAGAGAACATTAGTTCCCTCATGATTATATGTACACATTTTTGTGGACGCTACTCACAAAAATGCTTGTGAGTAGTATGTGACGATACGTGGCCTTGAAACTGTCACAGTCGTCAGACGGAGTAAAGAGTTTCAGTACATAAAACACACGATTTAGGCAGAACACTTGATGACCATACGAGATGACAGTTTGAATTGCATAACACCGCGAGATGCAAGTGTTTGGTCAAAGACTATGTATACGTGTTAGGTAAACTTTGTGATTTCCCTGTACAAGCAGACCTTTGTCTCACTAGTTCGGTTTACCCTTTGACAACGATGCTCCAGCAGAACAAAAATCAGGTCCAAAGTTTCCTTTTGAATACGTCCAACCAATACAGAATATACGTATCTTGTCAGATCATGACAAATTAATCAATTAATTTCGCAAAGCCTTTCAGGTTCCACGTATCAAATTTACAATATATTTGAACATTTTATAAATATATCAAATGAGCTAATGTCTCATCGTTCATTTTAGTCAATATTATGAATCTTTTCGTTAAGGAATATAAGTTTGTTAGATACGAATTTACACTAGATGCGATAGAATTCAACAACGCTGGTTTCAAAGTATAATATAACAAACATGGGAAAACGCAAGGATAGTGGGGAATGATAGAGTAATTGGCTTTCTCGTTCCTACCTATCTAGAGGAGACGATTTCCACGTCAGATTTTCCAGCAATTCGGTGATGGTTAATCGACCATCCTCAGCTAACAGCATTTACTAAATACAACATGGTTAGTATCAATGCCTAACGTCTACCAAAGTTCCTATTTTAGGGAGTCATTTACCACCACAGCTCACTGCCCCCTAGTGAAACTGTGAGAAAATTTTGACATCACCAGACAGAAGCTTAAACCCAACGACCTAGCCATCATTAGACACTCCTCTGAGAGCAGCACACAGTTATCTACACTTAAACCAATAAATCGTATGATGAACAAGAAAAGCTGTTGGGATAAAAACATTACATAGTTCCTTCGTTTTCTGCTTCAGTCTCTGTCTCTTTCAGTGAGTGAGTGTTGGGACAAATTGTGTTAAAACTCTTAATAGACTATTGAACCATGTTCCAGCCATAAAGTACATAAATCGATACAATAAACTAAAGGAAATGTTAAAGAAAAGCAAAAGGAAAACACATTTGTTTATTTTTTAAAGCAGGTATTATATGAATATATAACTTAAATATAGTTTGGACTGCTATACATTTCTATGGCTTTCAAAACTCTAACGTACAACTGAGAACTTTATCAATACATATTATCTAAATTGAATTACCTTAAAACTCCATCTAACTTAAGTATAGTCAAATCTGAAATTGATATCGAAGAGGATGGTGGCCGCTGAAATTAGGCAACTCTGAAAACTGACTCTTAACCAATGAGGACACAAGTCGTCAGAATCAAGAATCCACAGTGGCAAGTAACTTTACAAAATAAACAGCCTTGTCAACATTCGACATTAACTCTGACCTTTTATTTTTAACTGAAACAAGTAGCTAGAGGAACCCAGCCAAATATTGTGGCTAAGACCCGTCTTAACTTCTAGATAGTCACTTCCAAAGTCTCATGTTCCTTAATCCATCCTCACGTCCACATATATTTCGCTCCACTACTATCGTCTATTTCTACAACTGTCTTCGGGATATCATTCTTCAAATATTTGGATGTCTGTAATTCAATAAGTCAATAATAACACCACTTAACTGAGTTTATTTCAAACAAAGGGAAAGCAAAGAAACTCCTCACTAGAAGGAGCAATCGTTCCGTGTAATCTAAGTTTAATGTCATATCATTTTAGTGCACAGTGCTGAGGAGACCTTTTTATTCAGTTCAAAGTTATTTGAATTGTAAATAAAATAATTTTCTACTGTCCTACAATCATATCTAACATTGTCATTTGAACTAAGCACGAAAAACTAATAGTTACTATATTTATTCTGATTGACCCGGTAATATAATATAGTCTAACCAGCAAAGGTTCATAGTCCCATGATCAAAATCTAGAACAGAACAGTTAAATACAAAGGAAATTCAATATTACTATTCGAATTCTCAATTTAGTTAGTACATTCTTTCTGGTTTATTCATACAGTACAAAACTACCTTAAATTCAATTGATCTATTGTAATTACTACACAACTCATTGTTATAAATTCGTACGTATGTAGGTGGGTAAGTGGAAATAATTTTGAAGAACAGAAAACCACAATACAATTTTCTTTTTAATAAGCATAAATATTCAGACTGAAATCATAATATATAATTAAATTAAAGATAAAATCTACCAAAAAGGAAGGCACAAAGGTAAAAATAAATGCAAAAATCCAATTACAATGTAATTGACAAATTAGTTCAATAATATTTAGTGATAACATTAAATTTTCCTTATATACTTAGGATAAATTTAAAAATTATCCCATTCATGTAAATATCACTCTGTTAGTGTCTGTGTTAAAAAAAATTCAAAGATGGTTCATGAAAGACTAGGGATAAGCAAAACACGAAGGTACAAGTAAAGGGATGCAAACGAAAAAAATGGAGAAATTCAAATAATCTAGAAATGATGAGTAGGATAGGGGAAATCATTGTTTAACAAAAGGAAAAACAACTCATTAATAGATATTAAGTAAATAAATAACTTATAACAAATAATTACTAAGTTGATTATGAAATTCTGAATTTGTTAAAAAATGCCATCGACGTTGACCTAATGCAGTACAAATGCAACACTCCGCTATTCTTAATCTAGACGATATCGATTCAGTCATCATTGTACTATACCATGTAGATATTGTAGCTGGAACAGTTAATGGACAAACACCATCTAACTGACAACATTCTTTTTGGATAACTAATTGTAATGGACTATATTTACATTCATTCATAGAATTACAACATTGATTTCTTTGACGACATATTACCAATAAGGTTAAAATATGCACATAAGCACTTGAACCACCAAGAGCTAGTAGATTAAGATGTGGACAGGCTTTAATCAAATCTCGTAGAACATGATCTAATCCATATGAATGATTATCTTTACATGATTCATTCAATTGTTTAACTGAACCAGATATATTCAATTCAGAAGGTATATTCTGAACAGTGAAAAGAAACACAGAATTATCAAACAAATTATTTTTGATAATTATCAATAAAATTCTGTAGTTTTACAATTAATTTCTATAAATAATACCACAATAGGTTACTATACTACTATCTATTTTCAGAGGACATATCTACGGACTAATCAATTTAAAGTGAGTATACACATCTTAACGCATATGATGTTTAGCTAAACAACTAAAACTGTTACCACTTTTAGAAAACTTTTGATCAACATTAAAAATACGATTAAATCTATAAAGAAAAATTTATACAACAAAACGTGAAATAGCTACCTTAGAAGCATGAAAGTGGAATCAATGTAAACAATTCGAAGTAATCCAGTAGTTATAAGCAGAATTTTAAAAGTTCATTCAATTCAAAGTAAACCAAGAACAACGATTGTAGTAGAAAAATATGAATTTGCTTGACTATCTGGACCATCTATTCCTGTCATCTAAATATTTCAACAAGTTGTTTGTTTTTATTTGTTTTAACAACTCACTATATCTATTAATCGCACAACCTATTCAGGCACGTTTATGAGAAGTTTACGAACTTTTGCTGTACAAGTTACAAAAAAGTACAATCAGAGACATTGTCATGGCTGATAATATGCATTGAAAAGAATGAACATTATTCAGATGCCCATTCCTAAACTGATAACATCTAACTGGCGATTACTCAACATTTAACGTCATGATCGACCAAAAAGTAAGAAAAGGACAATTATTGTATGTATTTTTCGAGCACATTCTACAAAAATTGACACTGTAGTCGATGCTATAAAACAATTAGATCCTGTAATATTTTCTTGATAGTCGGTATGACGATGACATTGCAAAACCACCTAAAGTGATCAATAAGAAAATGACTTCAAACGTATTGTACTATACTAAAATCATAGCTATCAAAAAACTCAAACTGAACTTATGAATTAAAAAAGGATAATGTTATCAGTGTTGTATTTAATATCTAGTATCCTCAATTTCTAACACTTATTTTAGTAATATCATATTTTGCATGTGCAACTAGAAATTCCTCTTCTACATTCTTTTTACTGTACATTTATCTTAATCAATCTTTTTTGTTAATGTGCAACTTCTAAAATATTCGCATTATTTGACAATTATATGAGCATCTCATACAACTCATTTTTCTTAATAAATTTCGTTGATTATAACAAATATAGTATGTACGTTGTTTTGTTTGTCACTGCCCGCAAATGCCCTTGTACGGCCGAGAGTGGGTAGAGTCCGCTCTCCCTCTCGAAATGCTCTCACATGGTCACGCGTTTACAGCCTCTGTCAGGGAAGTCCTACTCATTGCCTTCTCGTGGCGCAGGTGTTGTTTACAAAACTGAGAGGACGAAAGGCGAATGTCCGGCGCTCTAATCGAGTTGGTGGATATGGAGAGTTCATCTAGGGGAGTTGGAAAACCAACGGTGCACATGGGCTCCGGGATCCTAAAGGAGCAAATGGCGTATGAACCAATTGTTGGTCACTAGAAACCATGAGACTGCATTTCCTGACGTTGTTCCACTGCCTTGTGGATCAGACCTTTAGGTCGAAGGCTCCTGGTGTGGTCCCCTAAGAAAGCCACCTGCTTCGGTTTGGGTACCCGGGCAGCATCGTAGCCCTCGCACAAATCAAATGAGATTTGTGTGGCGCATATCTATTTGATGCCTCCTTGTACCAATGTTTATGTGTTTAAATAAATAAATTGTTTTTTAATGATTCATACTACTATTTATAAGTTGTCAACAGTTGAACAGAATTAATGAAATAAATGAATTCATATTACTCTCACTAAACATTTTTGCAGTAAAAGTATGGTATAGGGAGGAGCTTAAGACAATTGTGAAGAATTTACGGATTGTATCCAGACAATTAGAAAAAGGGCTTTTATAAATGGATAGTTTATGGAAAAGAAAACAGTACTATTCTGAATATAAACAAATTTTATATGGTAAATTTATTAATTTCTTCCACAAGTAACTACTCTGACTGTAAACTGAGATAGAAACTCGTTATAATGGATATAAATTGTACATATTCTCGAACCCTTACAAGGGTCCAAACAAAGTTTTGGGTTTTAATATTGTTCATAGTTAGGGTTAGAAGTAGGGATTTATGGTTAAAGTTTTCATTCCAAACGGACGTCAGCTATGATGTACAAATACTCCGAATCCATGTAGATGGATAAATTTCACTCAAAAACATAATATACGCTATCTGATTGATGATTGTACCCATAAAGTGTAGTGCCACCAAGTTAAGATTTGTTTCAGGCTTAAAGGTTTAAGACACAGGGATATTTTCAATTTCCCTGATATATATAATCTAGGAATTAAGCATTTAATAGGTTTGACATTATCATTTTTATTTTATGGTTCCAAAAAATAATTTTTCACTATCATTTTAAACGTTGTGAGTAGTATACAGGAATATTTCTACTGCATGTTATACATAATATTTGAATTTCACTTAAATCCCTTATAGTCGCGTTTTTTATTCTGAGGATAATATGGCACAAAAACTTTCAGGAACATTATCGTGTGAATTTGAATCGTTAGTGTAATATTTACCAGAAAGTTGACTATTAAATACCTCTTAATCTTTACTGCATTTCACAAAATGAAATACAATAGGTTGGAAACACTTTTGCTATCAGAATCTTACTATGATTTATTCATAGAAGTATATCTAGTTTACTATGAACATGATCTAAATTAATTTTCTTGATAAAGTTGATCCGATTTATCCTGAACATGACAACTTGCTTTCGACTTCTTATCAATACCATTTCATTTGACGTAAGTTACTCTCACCAAATAAAATTCAACATTATTAATAGTACTGACTCACATCGTTTGCTTGACTTCAAGTGACACTATCGATCTATTCAAAGAGGTAGATGTTGTGGGGTAATAAAATATAATCTAGTGATCAAAAGCCACATTTTAATTAACAAGCCATTATTTCACCCATACTATTATTTAGTCAAAATATAAAAATACGAATAATGAGTGTTCGGATAAATCATTAAAGAATAAAAATTGCATACTTCCAATAATATTATCAATGATGTAAGTGATTGTGAATAAGATATAGGATTGATTGTATTTTGTGGACTTAATAAACCAGCCATAAATGCAGGTTCTCCAGTTAGAATCAATGTGATTGAAGTGACCGGTGCAGGAGGAACAGGCCAATAGGACAGTAAATTATGAATTGAATTGAATTTATCAGATGATGAAGGACTTTTCCACCGTAAACAAGTTAAATCTTCAACTAACTCCAACTTTAAATGAATGGTAAGATGTGGACATAGAATAAGAGCAGCACGCCACACGTTTGAAGGTATCGGTTTCCAACCAGATGTTGTATCTTGATTAGTTCCATATCTACGAATACGTGGAACATCTTCAGTCCAATCAATCAAATCCAGAATACTTGAATCACTAGGATCAAAACTTTGATCTTCATTAAATCCCATATATAAATCATCAGAATCATATGAAATAGTTCGTTGAACAGGAGGATTTTCAGAACGAGGTATGGTAAATACAGTCAAATCAGTCTTTAAAAAATGAAATAAAATGAAAAACTGCTGTTAATCATCTTTTAAGCAGCACTCAGTAAGTTGGCATTAAAAATAGTCTAAAATAATGGTCAATGAAGTCATTAAGAAACTTATTCCAAACATTAATTTAATTAACAAATAGAAGACTTACAAGAGATTAAAAGTAATGACACAAGAAACGAATCACAGTTATTATAGAATCCCATAAATGTTTACGTAAAGATCAAATTATAAAACAATTTTTATTCATTACTAACTTTCAAAAGCTAAATATTAGCGTTAACATACGTCAATTTATTTGACTATACGTCACAATGCTAAGTAGACGTTCGTAGAAATACTGACTGTCTTTATTCGAATATTTTTTAAAGCCGAAAACAATATTAGCTTCGTTAACAACACTGAAAAGAATAATAGCCAATTTGAATCAGCCAATTAGTTGAACGACTGTACCACCATCCATTAAAGTGCACAAGTATTGTCATTACGAGTACATTATTAGATTATAGTACTATCTTTTTTCCCTTACCGTAAAATCTTATATTTAGTCATCACTGATTTACACAAATACGTGAGAAATCCAGTTAGAAAAAGACATTTGATATGAATTTAACGATATCCTTTCTTAACTATGATCCTCCCCTGACTGATACTTCAATCTAATACCTACTACATTATAGATACCTTAAATATATCGAAAGTCATAGGGATTCGAGTTTAAAGACCTAGGCTTTGTGTTCAGCAAACATTTTTAACATTTCTGTCCTATCCTTCACCAGAAAACATTCAACGGACGATGTTACTGATCTTTTTATACCTTAATTTTTCATTTAACTTCACTAGGTGCATTATTAAACTGACTATTCACATATTTAAATAAAATGTGAATGACAATATTTACAAAATAAAATGAAGTCATGATATTTCGAGTCTTCACATTAGTTGCCTAAATGGGCTAAACTTATAATTAAGTATAATATTATAAATCAAGTATAGTCAATGAAGTCAACTTCGGAATAACACAGAAAAACATTAGAAATAAGAAAAACAAAACATTTAACATAGTTCTTACAACTATGTTGTATTTATATATTAAAAACGAAGTCATATAAATCAGTATGTGGTGTTATAAATAATAATTAATAGACAATTTAAGTTTTTTTTGACAAATAAGTGGCTATATAATCAACCCACCTAGTTTGTATAAAATTAAAATTAACGATATGTGTCAGAGGAATATAAAATTAAGGGATTACGTAACAGATAGTTTATGGCAGTGAAACAAGGCCGGTAAGAGTAGAGGATATTCGTGGGTTACTAGTATTTGATCATAGGTGCCTTCGAAATATTGCTCATATATCATGGGACATTCGAGTAAGTAATACAGTTGTTAGGAAACGGGTATTAGGTAAGGATGGCAAATCTATTTATGCACTAGTGAAACCTCATCAGTTGAGATGACTAGGACACGTATTACGTATGCCCAACCACCAACTGACCCGACGTGCGATGTTTTATGATGTAGGAGTAGGTTGGAAGAAAGCTAGGGGCGACCAGACCAAAACACGGCACAAATCCATGAAGTCGCAGACACGTGGACTCAGTCATGCTAATAGATGTAGACTACCTGGTTGAGATTCGCGAGACGATAGCAACCGATGATTAGAGACCTAGAATGACGTGGCTCAAAATCGTTTGCAATGGTGTGAGCAGGTGCATCCACTCTTTGAGTTCTCCCAAATTCTGATCTTCTGAATTCGTCATGTCCGTTTTCTTCTCCTTCAAAATTAATTTCACTGGATTATATTCCCTGAATAACATCTTCAAACACTAATGTTTCCGATTACTGATTACACTTTTACTACCTCTACCACTATGGGATTTGAATCGACAATTGTATCTGTGTGATATGCGGTATGGCAACTGGAATCGATGTACGTACGTAAGAAGTTCTACGTTGTTGCTGACTGAATGACTGACGTAAAAGATAGACATTATATCGCCATAATTATTTTACCATGGTTATAAGAAGTTTACCACACTTTTTCTAAAACTAAAGTTCAGGTTGTGATTGCTTGATGACAATAACCTCCCCAAAGAGGATTAAAAACGGTATTTCTTGTTTGTTAATTAATTTAAACGCCATGGTGATATCCACGTTATGTGCATTATCCATTAAGCATTAGGAAATTTTAAACATTTTGCTTCCTTTCAAATACAGCGTTCGCGGATATATTCAGAAATTCTGGTGGACGCCCTTCTTTTATTCCTTCCTAATTATTTGCCACTGTAAGTGCATGTAAATTCACAAACAAATTTGGAAGTAACCTCAGAAGGATATTGATCTGCTTTTAACTGATTTAATAAACATTTGGTGTTAGATACTGAAAAAAGTTGGGCTCCAGGGAAGCTCCCTTTTAGCATTTTACCAATTTATGATTTTATGCAAAATCACATGGGGCCTTTGTAAAATATGAAAATTGCACATTAAATACATCACTTGCACACCATCTTTCAGTTTTTCCTTATGTGCTCCATCATTCTTCCAATCCCGTTGTTATTCCGATATCCCTGCTTTCTTTCTTCTCTTTATTACAATCTTCCGCTGGTAAGCACTCCACTTACAATTCCTGCTACATACTACTTATGTCTATCCGCATAAGTAGAGCAAACCACAATATTGGTACACTAAAAGACTTCGACTCACAAAGATAAGCGAATCAATGAGTTACATTATTGCTTCTTCCTGACAAAGACAGGTAAAGACAAGCTTTCTCGTAACAATTAGTTTTTGAACCTATCTGTAAACATTATTCTATACTTCGCACATTTCATATTAAGTAATCTTGAATAAATATCAATTTAAAAGGTTTGTTTCACCAAGCTTTGACGATATATTTGTTCGTGCTATCATGTTGTTTATTATTCTGATATTTACTACTATGCCTGTCACCTTACAAATTGTACTTTTTACTTATATATAATTAGTTGTGTAATCCTTCTTTAGTATTAGCACTGAATCACACATTACCTTAATTAGTTTCAATTTTTCTATACACCGATATAAATATTGATGTGAAAAATGAAACCTGATGAATATCAAACTGAAAGCAATAATGTTCGATTAATACCTATTGTTTTACATTAGGTGGTTGGAGGTAGTTGACAGGAAATCCTGGACCCAAATTTCGTACCATTTGGCATTTGTCGGCAAAGTCTACCTGTGATCTTGAAAGAATCGCTTCTACTGACGTATTGGATCCCGCAACACCCAGCCTCACAATCTAAGACGATACTGCGCAGCTATTCGGGTCACGACCGAGATGAGTCGCTTAGACTAATGACTACATCCCAACTTGGTCGATAGAATTCAATCACAATTAAAAAGACTAAACAAGTATGACACTGATCACTACTTAATAATCAGTCAACTGTAAATATGTTGCTTTACTCTCCATTGTCTGAATTTTTAACATTCTAAGAAGAATTACCGAAATTAACACATTAACAGAAAACACCTCAAATATAACAAGTAAACTAAAAATAGTTGATAATTGATCCCAAATAAAATAAAAGCATTATGAACTAATGGTAACCAACTTGAATTAAAGATAATTGATGCAACGAAGTTTGATATAAAAGTCGAAGAAGCATTGAACCGGTTAACTGAGTTGGACTCAAAGTAAGACGTATAATTTTAGGGAAAAGACTAGACAAATCACACAAAGGATTATCGCTGGTCCGTTGAGATCGAGCACTAAGCCAACGAGGATCCAAAAGGTACCAATCTTCATTGAAACATTGGTGGCTATTGTTATTTGAAACATTGTTAGTAGTTTGATGTTCATCAGAGACTAAATTTGCAAAACATGGGATGTACTCACGATGATGTGCGGTTATTGGATTGACAGATGACTTATGGAAGTGAACAAGATTGAGATCATTTAGACAATGTGAAGCAACCTGAATAATGGAAAAAAAATCATACAACCATATTTAATAAGTGATTAACCAATAAGAAATATAAACTAAACTTCAAGTTTAATACATGACGAAATTAAGGTATAAAAAACTGAATATCTTCGTATAATTGGAGATGTTACTAAATAATAGAGTTAATACGTGTTATAAATATCGGAAAAATGCAGACCTTGCAGTGCTTTGAAAACTTTTAACAGTGAATGAAGCTGAGGCAGAAATATCAGCATACTGTTGTGAACAAAATGAGAGTGGGGTAGATGGAATTCCCCGTGAGATAAAATAGAAACCCCACCTGTAGCTCTTCTAGAGTTATTGTCGGTCCCAAGCCCGGGTAAACGAGGAGGGTTGGACATAGGGTCAGCATCCCCATCCCGTAGAAAACTAACTCGCTAAAAAAACGCTAACCAGAAAAAATAATTCAAATCATTTAAACTCTGCCCTGACAGTTAGAAGGTCTTCATTTGGGAGAACTATGACACCTCATGGTGAAAGCCGAGTTCCTTCGGAAGCCACGATACCAATGCCCCTTTTAACAACCAGAACAATTTTTATAGGTACATGGAACGTCCGGACGATGTGTGGGACCGAGAAAACCAATCAAATAGCAAAGGAAATGAGGAGATACAACTTGGCAGTACTGGGAATCCGCGAAAACCCGAATGCCCTGGTACGGCCGAGAGTGGGTAGAGTCCGCTCTCCCTCTCGAAATACTCTCACACGGCCGCGCGTATACAGCCTTTGCCAGGGAAGTCCTACTCATTGCCTTCTCGTGGAGGGGGTGTTGTTTACGAAAATGAGAGAACGAAAAGCGAATGTCCGGCGCTTTAACAGGATTCCAAACCAATGGTGCACATGGGCTCCACTATCCTGCGGGAACAAATGGCGTATGAACCAATAGTTGGTCACCGGCTACCATGGGATCGCATCTCCTTACGATGCTCCACTGCCTTGTGGGTTAGACATTTAGGTCAAAGGCTCGGGGTGTGGCCCCCTAAGATAACCACCTGCTTCGGTTTGGGCATCCGGGCAGTATCACAGCCCACACACAAATTGATGGACTCTTTATGTCTATGGAAATTACTTTTCCCGCTTCGAAAAACAATCAATTGATTCAAATTATTATCATTACAATTATTGTCATTATTAATACTATCATTATTATTACTACTATTATTGTCATTATTGTTATTATTATTATTATTATTATTATTATTATTATTATTATTATTATTATTATTTTCCACATTATTCACCCTCTTTTATACTTATACAGCGGCTCGTCTTTGGTGGAAATTCGACTGTATCTAAACGTTCTCGAGTCACTGTCCGGTTGAAAATTGTATGTTACCACCGAATACGAGGACTGAAGCAGTTTTTCTGAAACCACGTACACCATTCAAACTGGCTGCCTTCAACGTTCGCACACTTATGCAGGTCGGACAACAGATAGGGCTGGCTATGTCTTTGGAAAGTCTTAATATTGATGTTTGTTGTCTATCCGAGACCCGTATTCAAGACTCTGGCGAAGTACTACAAATTCGATCTCCATCTGTCGCTTCGAAAAGCTTGTTTTACGTGCGCTTATCCGGGGACCCTGTGGCATGTTCGTCTGGTCTTGCTGGCGTTGGTGTCGCACTAAGCGCTAGAGCTGAGGCAGCACTAGTCGATTGGATCCCCATTAACAGTCGGTTATGTGCTGTTAGATTAGAAAGTTCCATCAAAGTGAGAAGAAATCGGCGTGAGAAACGATGTCTTTTCGTCATCTCCACCTATGCCCCGACAGATTGCAGCCCGGATGCAATCAAGGATGAGTTTTACCGCCAGTTATCTGTTCTTCTCCAGAAAGTGCGTTCGACCGATATTGTAGTACTAGCCGGAGACTTGAATGCTCAGGTCGGGCGTCTGGGCACAGAAGAGAGTCGATAATGCCCAAGGCATGCAATCCGCACTTAATCAGTTGGCAATCAGTGTCCGTAGGTATGGTATGTGCTTTGCACCTTCGAAGTGCAAAGTACTTCTACAAGACTGGCAGGATTCCAATCCTGTACTCACCCTGGATGGCGAGCAGATAGAAGTAGTCAAGAAGTTCGTGTATCTGGGTAGCTGCATAAGTGCTGGTGGGGGTGTGAGTGATGAGATCAATGCACGAATAGTGAAAGCCAGAGCGGCTTATGCCAATCTGGGCCACCTTTGGCGCCTTCGTGATGTTAGTCTGGCTGTAAAAGGTCAGATCTACAACGCGTCGGTGAGAGCAGTTCTGCTCTATGCTTGTGAAACCTGGCCTCTCCGAGTTGAGGACGTTAGACGACTCTCTGTGTTCGATCATCGCTGTCTCCGAAGGATTGCTGACATTCAGTGGCAACACCATGTCAGTAATGCAGAGAATCGGCATCGTGTGTTCGGGCACAGAGATGATAATGCAATTGGTGTCACCATCTTGAAAGACTGACTTCGGTGGCTTGGACATGTTCTCTGAATGTCGTCCCAGAGAATTCCACGTCGTGCATTATTTGCCGACTCTGGGACTGGTTGGAAAAAGCGGAGAGGTGGTCAGTGCATGACATGGTGTCGTGGCATGAAAGAAAGCTGCAAAGGACTGGCTTCTGTTGGTCCTTCACGACTCCCTGGTTGGGGTCTGAGAGATGGTGCGACACAGTGGCTAGAGACGTTATCAGATATGGCTCAGAGTAGAAGCCAGTGGCGGTCCTGCTGTAACCTTCTTTTACTTGCTTCATAAAAAGTGGTTGTGTCTCCCTTACCTGAAAGATTTCTTCTGATTGTACCTTTCCGTCCCCTCGTTACTACCACACTACCTTACACCAACCTCTTCGTTATTGTTCTCTTTTTCTTTTGCGCTCCTTAGTTTTTTTTTCTATTTCTCTTCGAATTCTCATTGTTTTGTGTGACGCATATATATTGGCGCTCTCTTGTACCAATATTCATGTGTTCAAATAAATAAATAAATATGAAACCCACTGGACCCAAGCTGGACAACAAAGGCTATATACGATAGAGATGCTGCTATACTCCGGCCACGAAGAGGAAAATGCTCCACACACTCAGGGAGTTGCTCTCATGCTGTTCAAAGTAGCACTTGTAGGATGGGAACCTCACGGATCCAGAATAATCAAAGCATCATTCAAGACAAAGAAGGAGGGGATCACAATGAATATTATTCAATGTTATGCACCCACCAATGATAGCAACGACGACATTAAAGATCAATTCAACGAGCTGCTGCAATCAATCATAGAGAAGTGACCAAAAAAGGACCTCACTATTCTGAAGGGAGATCTAAACGCCAAAGTCGGAATAGACAACACCGGATATGAAGATATCATGGGACGACATGGACTGGGATAGAGAAACGAAAATGGAGGAAGATTTGCAAATCTATGTGCATTCAACAAATTGGTCATAGGGGGAACAATATTTCCACACAAGCGTATACACAAGGCTACATGGATCTCACCGGACCACACCACAGAGAACCAGGTAGATCATATTTGCATCAATAAAAAGTTCCAAGGGACAATGGAAGATGTGAGAACCAAGAGAGGAGCTGACATAGCTTCAGATCACCACCTAGTTGTAGCCAATTTAAAACTGAAGCTGGAGAAGAACTGAACAACTAGACAAACAGCACTACAAAGGTTCAATACAGCCTTCCTTCGAGATACTGACAAACTCAATGAATTCAAGATAGCTCTCAACAACAAGTTCCAAGCCTTATAGGATCTACTGAAGGAAGAAGAAACTACTATGGAGGACAACTGGAAAGGTATCAAAGAAGCATTAACTTCAACGTGTCAAGAGGTTCTGGGGCTAAAAAAGCATCATCATAAGGAATGGATCTCTATAGAAACACTGGACAGGATCCAAGAAAGGAAGAAAAGAAGACAGCAATTAACAATAATCGAACAAGAGCTGAGAAAATCAAGGCATAAGCTGAATACACAGAAGCAAACAAGCGAGTGAAGAGCAGAATCAGAGTCGACGAGCACAAATAGCTGGAAGAACTAGCAACGACAGCAGAAAGAGCTCCAAGAGAAAGAACTTTCAAGCAACTATATGACACGACGAAGAAACGGTCAGGGAAATATTGTAGACCAGAGAGATCGATCAAGGACAAAGAAGGCAAGCTAATCACTGAAATTCAAGGACAGAGGAACAGATGGGTAGAATACTTTGAGAATATCTTGAATAGATCAGCTTTACTAAACCCACCGGACATCAGAGCAGCACACACACACACCTTTCAATAGATGTCACTCCAACAACGACGGGAGAAATCAGGATGGTCATCAGACAAATCAAGAGCGGTAAAGCAGCTGAACCTGACAATATACCTACTGAAGCACTGAAATCAGCATTATAGTAACTACAAAGATGCTCCACGTTCTACTCAGGAAGAATTGGGAGGAAAAACAAGTACCGACGAACTGGAAAAGACACCTCACCAAGATTCCAAAGAAAGGAGATCTGAGCGAATGTGAAAACTAGAGGCATCACACTACTATCAGTACCAGGGAAAGTCTTTAACAGAGTGTTGCTGAACCGGATGAAAGATGCAATAGACACCCAACTTCGAGATCAACAAGCTGGATTCCGTAAGGATCGGTCGTGCACAGACCAAATTGCGACAATACAGATCATCGTCGAACAATCAATTGAGTAGAACTCAACACCGTACATCAAATTCATTGATTATGAAAAAGCATTTGACAGTGTAGATAGGAGGACGTTATGGAAACTTCTTCGACACTATGGGGTTTCTGAGAAGATTGTCAGTATTATCCGGAACTCATACGACGGACTACAGTGCATAGTTGTGCTTGAAGGACAGCTGACAGATGCATTCCAAGTAAGGACCGGAGTCAGACAAGACTGTCTACTCTCTCTCTCTTCCTCTTTCTTGATACGTCTTGTCGATGAAACGCTATATACGATTCCTAAGCCATCTGGTAACCCGCAGACTAGAACTACACAGCGACTTGAACACCAGAAAGAAGACACAAGTATGAGAGAAAATACTTTATCCCAAGATTCATTTTTGTACAGAAAATCAAGGGTATTTATAGATGTTGGCGTCTGTTAAATCAACATCATATTTCAGCCAATCCGTTAACGTTATATTATGCTACTGACCAATAATAGCACGCCACGCTGGAATTCTCGAACGTTCCACCGTACTCTGATTGGCTAGGATCCTTCGGCTCCTTTTTGGGCCTCTGGAGGCTCCGTTAAAGTTCTCCGGAAGCCGACTCAACATTTCTTCTGGTGATCGACTGGATTATGAAGACCTCGACATCTGAGGGAAAACACGGCATACAATGGACAGCTCAGAATCAATTATACGATTTGGACGTCGCAGATGACCTAGCCCTCCTAACGCATACACACGAACAAATGCAGACAAAGACAGCCAGTATAGCAGCAGTCTCTGCATCAGTAGGCCTCAACATACACAAGAGGAAAACCAAGGTCCTCAAATACAACACGGGGAACAGCAATCCAATCACTCTTGATGGCGAAGCTCTCAGTCAGTCAGTCAGTCAGTAACAACGTAGAACTTCGTACGTACATCAGTTCGAGTTGCCACACCACATTAGCACAGAGATGCAGTTGTCGATTCAAATCCCGTAGTGGTAGAGGTAATAAGAGTATAAGTAGTAATCAGAAAGATTAGGGTTTGGAGATGTTATTTAAAGAGTATAATCCAGAGAAATAAATTTGGAAAGAGGAAAAAAGGGACATGAAGAATTCAGAAGATTAGAATTTGGGAGAACACAGAGAGTGGATGCACCTGCGCCATTGCAAACGATTTTGAGCCATGTCATTCAGGGTCTCTAACCATCGGTTGCTATCATCTCGCGGTCCCCAACCAGGTAGTCTACACCTACCAACATGACTCAGTTCACTTGTCAGTGACTTCATGGACTTGTGCGAAGCTCTGGAAGATGTAGGATCCTCACATGGATGGAGAATGCTGGTGAACGGCCTATGTTCCTTCAAGAGGAGTAACAAGCGTAAGTAAGTAGGTTAGTACTTGGAACTTTTTAGTGAGAGTTTTTTGTTACTGTAGCAGTACCAACAATGATGTAGAAGACGTTAGCAAGTTGATTACACGTGACAAAGTTTAATTAAAATGGTACTCATAGATATATATTCGGTGTACGACATTAGATAAAGAAACAATCAAACATCGCTAATTAATTCGTACATGACAGTCTGAATATTTTGAAGAAGGACTTCAAAAGAACTCAACCTACGATAATGTGTTATCAGGTTACATCACTTGAGGATTTGCAATTTCTATCCACTTCAAATACCAAATGACGCATTTTAACACCGCTCATTCAATGAAACAACAAATTCACTGATCATCGAAACCCTTGATAAATTATTCACCTTACGTCGTAATGGAAAATTGAAATATCTAGTGAACGAGATGATTTTCGAAACACTAGTTCCGTCTATATGCTATAATAGTAGGACGGAAAAGCATGAAGGATGACACCCAGTTATCCAGTCTTATATTGTTAAGGGTAGTGGCGAAAATTACAGACTTGTTTGTTAAAATGCAGAGATGGTATCGAAATTCACACTAGGAACTGTGTTATATGCTTCATACCTAAATAGAGAGAAGCACTTGCAGATTTTGCGTTATTTTTGTATTTATCAAATTACAGTTCGCTATGAGAGCGCTGATCGGTAAGGTTTGATCACAAACAAGGTCATTGCAACTATCCACTAATCTACCTTTAGGATTTTTATTCGAAATGACACAGAATTAAACAGAATCATTGAAACCTATTGTTGGAATGTTACAAATGTTCCCAATATTAACAGATATTTTGCTAACTAGTTAGCATAACACAAAAGAGAAAAATGAAGGTAGTACATTGTTTCCCGAAAAAAGGAACAATGAAAACTTTACCACTACATTAAACCAAAATATTTCATTTCACCTATCATTAGGCACTGATTTTCAGAAAAATATAAATTGGATTTTCGTACATGACTATGATGAATGGGTGATGGGGTTATTGACCGAATCTTGTCACTATTACCATAGTTGAAAGGCTTGGTATGATGACACGTGGGTCATACTTCGTCTGGCTTTCTCGACTTTGTTCTAGCTTGGTTTCCAATACAAAATACCACGAGCCCAAGAGCTTTTGACTATATGTACTGTGTTTTTATCACAGCATTCGCACGAAATTTTCTATGGTGAAACAAAACTTGTTTACACGTACAGTAACTAAATCCGAATCCTACAGACCAACAAAACAATACAATGTAATGTTTATGGCTGATAAAACGAAATGTCTTTGACCAAAATATAGACATTTTACAAATCAACTCAGAAAATTTCAAGGCAAGTGAAAAACAATTTAATTTATAATTCACACTTACATCACTTATTTCACAAACTAACTGTCTGGCGTCATCGGAAACAAGAAAAAGATCCACTAGGTGGAGACGATGAAGCTCACTTAACTGACGTACCACTCGGCTAATCGTTCTCAGTAATGCACCTCCAGTTCCATAAACAAGACCACGCAAATCATCGACTTCAGAATTAAAATCCAATTCAAAAGAATGAACAATAGGTGGGTGGTGAAAAGGTGAGAAATTTGACACAGATGAGGGATACTGAGAGCTTTTACTGCGTTTGAAGCTGCTACAGTCATAACGATGAGATGGAGGATAGCTAATGGAAGACATTCTATGCGATTGAAATTGCTCTAAATCATTGAATAAATCAGCTTGCTAATAAAAACAATGAAATTCAAGTTTAGCAAAACTTAAAAGTCATACACAACGAAATAAACTAGACCAATAATATTATATAATGCTAAATGATATGATAATATAGATATAGCTAGAAAAGGCTGCATCGTGTATTTGAATGAAACTTTCATGAAGAAGCCAAAAAATGTAACTCAATAATTTAGTTGTATCTGTTATTATTATTTTATTTGAAAACATAGATATTGGTACAAGGGGGCACCAAATACATGTGTGGGGGCTACAACGCTGCCCGGGTACCCAAACCGAAGCAGGTGGCTTTCTTAGGGGACCACACCAGGAGCCTTCGACCTAAAGGTCTGATCCACAAGGCAGTGGAACAACGTCAGGAAATGCAGTCTCATGGTTTCTAGTGATCAACAATTGGTTCATACGCCATTTGCTCCTTTAGGATCCCGGAGCCCATGTGCACCGTTGGTTTTCCAACTCCCCTAGATGAACTCTCCATATCCACCAACTCGATTAGAGCGCCGGACATTCGCCTTTCGTCCTCTCAGTTTTGTAAACAACACCTGCGCCACGAGAAGGCAATGAGTAGGACTTCCCTGACAGAGGCTGTAAACGCGTGACCATGTGAGAGCATTTCGAGAGGGAGAGCGGACTCTACCCACTCTCGGCCGTACAAGGGCATTTGGGGGCAATATCTGTTGATACCGTAAATTATAAACATACATTAGATTAGTAATTAATTAATACCAACTATGTCAGTTCGATACACCTAAAATCATTTACTGACCGGATATTCAAATTGATATGTACCTTATTCCAATTTTTGATATCGTTTTGATCAGTTGTGAATCAACGTGATAGCGGGACATAGACTAGATTAAAACATGCTCAATGCACGATCGCCTTGGTGCACGCTGATTGGCTAATTCTTATCCAATCAGCGTTAGTCAACACTAGAAATCTTTTCATGTGAAAAACTATAAATAAATTAACATTTTTCCTATTGTACTTACTTGCTTCTTACTTCCATCTAACCTCGTTATTTGGAATATAATCTCTTTTCTGTTCAACCATGTTCTGATTGGTCGAATCATAGCTTACGAAAAACTGTCTTAGAGATCTGTCTCCAACCGGGAAACTCATTCATCGGTTTATAGTAAGCATATGACAACTTCCCCCGAGGATCCTTAAAAAAGGTTGAGTCGTCTGAACAACTTGAATCCAAGAATGCTTGCAATGTGTTCCTCCCCCTATAAATGGTGTATACTGGCTTACGACTTTCAAACGATCGTCTTTGGTCTAACTAAAGAAAGTGAAGGGATTATGCATATTGACCAGTCTACTAGTTTCAGAAGTCTTATCAGTCTTGGTAGGTATTCAGCTGACGAAATCTTGGCATAAATACAGGAAACTCAGTTAGTACTTTTTAACCTGAGCCATCTAAACATGACAAATAAATAAAAGCTCCAGAGTATGCTTCCAAATAAGTAAGAGTGAGTGTTGTACACCGTAATTTAAGGTTTTGTAGGACAATGAATATGCTGATGTTAATATAACCTGGTTATTTTTTTGTACTACAATTCATTAACGTGGAAAGTTACAAATCTTCATTAAATATGATAAACAGCTTTGTAGAGTTTTGTGTAACCCCCACCATTAAAACTGAAAACATTTGTTGAAATTTCTACTTTAAAGATATCCTATTAAACTGAACAATGACAATGATCAATAAATATATTATGAAACTGGGTACTTAAAGCAGTGAAAGGCTTACACTATTTTCAGAGGATAAATCAGATGAAAAGTCCTGAATTTCATGCTCTTGCAGCTCAAATATTAACCTGAGAGTAGCTTCGGCATCTGGATCACCTTCAATAATGAAACCAGCAAGTCCATAGTCTGTTTCACGCATTACATTACGGTTCAGATTTCCATATGATAAATTTTCGATTTCTTTAGGTAGGTCACTATATTCATTGCCATCTGAATCACAGGCATTATTAGGTTCATTCTTCTGTCCATCTAATTTGAAACTGTATTCAAGAAACTTTGCAACAAGGTTTAACGTTCGATTAAGTAGGAACAAGTCATCAGTTTTCAAAAACTTGTAGTTGCGAATATGGCAACCAATCGCCTTTAAGCAACTAGAAAATAACCCAAATAAATGGAAACATTACAAACTATCTGAAGATAATCCGTAGCTATAAGGAACTTATTTTTAATTCCGGAGTTGGAGATAATTTACTTTTCAAAAGAGAATAATAAAATCACACAAGATTGACTAATCATTGCTAATTCCTAGTCTGAGCCATTTTGGTAGATGCAAATAACTTGGTTGGGGTCCACGCGACTATCGCAACCAATGGTTGGAGACTCTGGGCGATATGGCTCAGAATCGATCACAATCGCATGGGCGTAGTTACTCTTTGTCTTTCCTTAAACTGTGAGATTAAAATTACTTTATAATTTTCTTTCTACGAACTAATTCTTTCTCGCTGTATTATATCCTTACATGCAATCATATTTTGTATATATTACTGCCATTGAAGTAACTGCTCCCATGAATTAGGTATGAAGTATGGCAACTTAGACTGATGTATATATGTGCCTGTTTCCACGTTGTAGATGACTGACTAACTGAATCATCACTATAAACCTGTTTTAGAACTGAACAACAACCAATTACTTTACCAATAGATTTTATAGTGTGTGTTAAATAAAAACAGAAGTCCAAATGCTCTTGAACTAGAGAACGATTAGTAAGCTGGCAATAAGACGTAACTATTTTGACAATAAACAAGCACTAACAGCTAGATGTGGTCATGACCACCTCAATAACTACCAACTGAGAATAAAGCTACTCAAAATGTACAAATGTTAAAGCTACGAATAACTGGCTCGCATTTTAATACAAATAAAAAAGTTGATAACGAAAGACTAGGTTCTGCTCCTAGAATAGTTCACGTGAAAAGAAGTGAGTTTGATAAGTGTTTGAAAATTTTTTGCTTCGTCCGTAATAGCTTAAAATGGTCATATCATTTGTAAAGCCTATAATTCAAATAAGTTGCCTAAATTTCAGCTAAATCATTTTAAGTACACACTAAATTCAGTCGCTGCTGTGAAAATTATAAATTGACGAAATAAACTATCACTCTGCAACTCATCCCTGCCCTTTAACTGCAGTGAGAAGTCCAGTTTGTATAAAAGCTTTCTTGAATCGAAGCCCCCAGAAGATTTTCCGTAAGGAAATGACATCCTTATGAACAGAATATTCAGAAAAATAAACATGATAGAATTTCATAAAAGACTGGATGAAATTAATTTGTAGTCCACTCACTCATCAATCAAAGAAAACCTGATTGTTAGGCACAGCTTTCGTTCATCGTGTCATAATGTGACATATCACTGTGTCAATATTACAATCACAAGTTCAGATGCTATTATGATAGTGTCAGCAGTTACATCTATTTTAATATATTCGATTTCAATTCGTTTTCTGCTAAAATCAGGCCTCATATAAAACTTACCTGTAGTTACAGGACTGGTATATATTTCCTTGATTCAGGTTACACATAAATGTAAAAACTTAGACGACTGAACCTGGTAAGAAGTACAAATCAGACATACGATCATTAAAGTAGGGGAGTGTTAGGTCACTAAACAAGGTAATGACAAACAAATATTTGATTCTATAAACGACGTTCATATCTTTTTCTAAAAAATTAAGTATGACTCACCAAGACAAACGATAGCCTTTAATATCATACTGAAGTTTTGTTAGTCGACGACAAGGTGGCTTAAAAACGATTTTCCTCCACAAAACAGGAGATTGAAACACATTATACCACTTTTTACACACACGAGCAGCTCGTGAACGTTCATTCCAATTCAAATATATAAAAATTTGCTCTAGGATTGAATCCGGTATATTTATCATTAATTAGGTTAAGCTTTATTTTTCCTTCAGAAAACAAATCTAAAACAGCCAACAAAATGTCCGACTTGGCCAAAACTTTTGGACAAGTAGCATTTGGGAAGAGTACCGCTGAAGTCCAATGACATTACAAAGGTGTTACGACAACTGTATGGTATCAATAAACTGAATGTAAATGAAAAGAAATAAATACAAAACTCAGGAAATTATTAACGCTTGAAATATTTAGATGAAACCTCAAAGTAAATTGTATACTGAAACATGTCACACAAATCTCTTTCATAAAAATCGAAATGAATTGAAAACAAGTACCATCATTTATACCATACAAACTAAGTACTATGTCAAAATCACTTGTCCATTGATTCAGAAAATATATTTGATACATAACTCTTATACACCTAAACTACTGAATAGCTATCTGCCCATAAAATGGAGATTTCACAAGCAGACTAAAAGCTAATAGAGAATAGTAGCCGAATTCAAGGACATAGAGAAAAGATCTATGGAAAAAATTACACGAAATATACATGATTGTAATAGCTAAACACATATCACTATACCCTAGTGGAGCAAAATACCATGTTATTCGGCCATAATCAACGTAAGTCGGCATAAACGTGTACTGGACCAAAACGAACACATTAGCACAATGAAATGAAAGTAACAAGATGAATAACAAAAAAATCGAAGCAATCCAGTAGAAATTGTAATTATAAGAACTAAGCATTGGAAATATGATTCGGGATGACAAGAGGAAAGTATAGGCATGAGATGCTGGAAAACAAAGTCCAGAGGAAGACAGAGAATCTATATACTTGAGCTATTTCGACATATTCCAAGTCATGCTATTTAGCACCTTTAATCAATCATCGACGTTGTCGCGCGGGCCGCAACCAGAAACTATCTGACTAATTGACGTCTTTAGAACTTGCAAATTTGCAAATGAGCCTAAGATCACTTTTAATGTGAAAACAGTAAATCCTGTAAAAATAAGTAGCGGTTTTTACCAACCAATTTGCCACGACAGATTGCTCGGATATATTATCACTGTATGTAGACAGTTCAAAAAGATTGACAACAATTGGCTTAAATTCACTAACAGAGGTTGAAAGGCATTCATTCAGTGATTTACATATTCAATCTTTCAGACATATTTCATTGCGACTTCTACAATAAGCCCTTTGTTTATCTGGCAAATAGTGTTATACATTGTGTTGCGCCATTTTCTTCACAGTCGGCTATAAACTGAAAGTCATGGAACAGGAAATAATGCAGTTGACTGATGTCAGAATAGGGAAAAATGTTTCCTTACAGCAACTGATAGGAGTGTCAGTGCTTTCTGTCAACCGAAAAACGATGCAAAACAGATTAGTGAGGCATGGAAGTCACTTGTGGTATTTAGACAGCGAAAGTTTTAAATCATACTGGTGCAATTTTTTTCAGTCGATGTCCAGAGTGGACAAATAAACGTCAGTAGCCTTTAATTCTATCCTACAATTACCTATGGGCAATAGTAAACCGTAATCGTAAGACCACGACTCACTGACGTGTAGTCACAACTAAACGGTTTTGGACGATACATGCATTGGTGGGTTTTTGCCCAGTTAGATACGACTATGTTTACCACGATCTACGAAACGCTAGTGAGTTATGAGTTAGAAAACTGTGTACGGGCAGTAAGTACCCGTGGTGAGACTACAGTTTATGGGTGACCTGTAAAGATCACCCATAAACCGTCGATTGACCGGCGATAGTGACCTTGAATGTCCACCTAATACCTAGGACCGAATAAATGTGAAAAAACCAGCATGAGGAATGAGAACTATGATTTTCACTTGATGGTCAAGGTTCAGGATTAGATTTTGCGTTTTCATCATGAACTGATATCAGTTATAATACAAAAAACTCTATTTAGCCTAATGGATGAAAGACTGATCTAAACTAAATAGTGGTTAAAGAAGTTGAGCACAGTTTACCAACTCGTGACCTGGTCGATATTCAGTGATCTAACTGTCGGATGATTTAGCTACGGCTTAGTGAAATTTCACTGGCCCTGCAAGAGAAATAATTTTGACCGCGACTGTACTCGCATGTACATTACCGACCACCAAAGAAATGCAGATTTTGAGACGAACTGCGGCGGCAACATGGCTTGATTATGGCATCACAAACAACAAAATCAATTTATTAAACCAGCTTCTACCTTGTGCCAACAGTAACGCAATAGAAGATTCTGCCGCCCACCAAAAATAAGTAAAAAGCCTCTCAAATTAAAAAAAGCGGATCATTTAAGAACTGCTGTCTCAGTTATCTTGTTGCAGGAGTGGCACGGAGTTCTTTTATTTTTATTGGTATTGTGCAGACTTTTTCAGATTGCTTTTATCAATTAGTGGTAGTTCTTTTTTTATTCTCAGTTTGTTTTTGCTTGACAGTGGACTATTTCATTTTACTTCAGTCAAGCACTTCAGGATTTCCTATATGTTTTTGTCACTACAATCCTTTTAGTCGCACTAATGCATGTTTCATGGTGTGCTTGCCGTACACCTGTCTGCTATCCGTACAATACTGTGATTTTAAAATTTTCGAATCATTAGAAAATTAACTTACTATATATCCATCATTTTTCGCTCTTTTTTCTACCTAGAACTCACACTGATTCCTCTTCGTCAGTCTCACGAATCGACGCATAAAATATACACACTGTAACACTTTCGTAATCCGTTTTTATTATTACATCAAATTAACGTGGTCGGTCAACGAAAATGTACAAGGATAAATGATTTACATTTTATGTTATTATCGCTCGTTTTTCGTCCATTACATCAGTTAACTGGCGTGTTCACGACACACAGTGTAGATTTCTTAAAAAAATGAGACAGCACTATGACAAGACAAAATCTCTTCTAGCAGCAAATTACGTAAAAATTCTAAGATGGACGCGAAATAATGCCAAACACTCATTGATCCCTTATTTTACTGCTTTCAAATAGTCTCAGACATACATACTAGGACAAACCATCACAAAGGAGTGGGCTATAGAAACCTCCAAATAACCAACAGCCCACGATGTTGTGGCTTTGAGATTCTATACGGTCAATGAAATATTGCTGGGCAACAATCAAACCACCCATAGAGATGAAACATTTAGATTTCGAACGACAACTTGTCAAACACTGTCAAGGTCAAATATGACGGCGGATTGATTACCCGCAATCCATAGACATGACAATGCAACAGTAGTAGAACTTTGTATTCGCCTAGCCAGTTTTTGCTAACACATTTCATCCGTAATGTCACAGTAACTATATGCATTCATCAGGGAATTCATAGTGTATAAAAACCAAAAAAGAAAGCAGTCCCCGTAAAGTACTAACCGCTAGGAAAGATTTTGTAGGGCCAGCGAAATGTCACTAAGCCCTAGCCAAATCACCCGGCAGTCGGGTCATTGAATATGGAGCAAATCATCGATCCTCGTCAAGGTCAGAGACAACCAACGCGCATCAGTTAATGATATACCATGTACTGGTGCATGCGGCAGTGGTCTTACTTTCGCTTGTATCTACTTTAAATAATATATTTCTGTAATAACGTTCTCTATGTTGTACAGTCTTCAAAGCATTTATAGTACCTTGACACGTCAATGGGGTGGTCCACGTAAGGTGCTGACCACGAAGTGTGACTTCGAAGTTGGCTGGTTCGTCACACCATCCCCGTCTAACTCGAGTAGGTCTCCAATCATTTTCGACATAGATCACTTACGTTGATGATCTACACTAGTGAGCAAGACTTGGATTAACTTATTATCATAAATTTTATTATTGCATTCTATACTTATTCTTTCTCATTTTTATCATCGCCTATGTTAATCTATCATTGTGAACTTTCGTTGCTTCATGTCAATGCTGATTAGTATTTAAACTGAAATACTTAGTTCAATCGACAGAACTAATCAATCAACTATGATTGTGATCGGCTATCGTGGTTCGTTAACAAGCATTAGCAGCATGTAAATGCTCCTGTGTAATATGTATGTTAAAGTACCAACCACTAGTTAGTATAGCCACAAAGCAACACGAACGCACACCTGTTTGCAACAAGATTAACTGTCGGCTTTAGATGCATCTTTCTGCTTGACCACTATCCACTAGTTTTTTTTACTTTCTTTGACCACGGCCTGCCTAATTTCCAATTGCTGAGTTCCATGGCCAAACAGAGGATACGAATGCTAGAAATTTACAGTGAGTTTAAACTATAAATTTTCTTCAGTCTTAGATCACGTTTAGACTGTTCATCAGGCAATGCTATGTATTTGGCTTAAATTAATTCTAGACTTATACGACTTCAGACTTCAACTCTGTGTTAATAGAAAAATTTAATCAACAGTACCTCGTACATAATCCGGATTCAAACTACTGTCTGCTTCATTACTTATAAGCAAGAGTAACCCAGGCGAGTTTCATAATTTCATTAGATTATTTCGTACTGTATTTATGATGCGTGATAACATTTCGTAGTTGCCTTCACGTAAAATAGACATATATCCTGTCACTGCCGTCAAGTTTTAGTCGAAATCATGTACATTTATGACTCGTTAGTCGACATACTGTGGTAAAACATATTGCATGTACACGAGCACGCTTAGTCCATGTCCTAAGTACACACGTTGTCGTACTTAATATGTCACTTAACGCTAGGTAATAAGCTCTTTGTATAAGCCTTTCACGAAATGGCCACGCTACCTGAACCCTCTGAACTTTAGTTACATTGGTGGTTACCATTTTAAATAATGTTTATTATACTCCTTGTATTTGCTATTATTTCACACGGTAAATCATGGCTCGATTTCCTTATTACACAACAGTCATTTTAATTCTATTTTCCGTTTATTTGTATACAATACGGGTTTGGAAAATATCTGAACGTCTTCAAAAATTCTCCACGAACCCAACCATAGTTTTCGTATATGTTTTTATTCACACATCCAACTGCTACGCTAGTAAAACCTAAACGACCGTTCAGTGCAACTGTTAGTATACGTAAGAACGATGTTATTTAGATTTGACTTTATAGCACATCCGAACTATTGTAGTTATTCTACTTCGATCTTGTACTTTATTTTGTGAAGTATTGTCTCCTCGTGGCTGTTATCTAACTACTCGACGATTTAAAACCTGTCCAGTTCAATTGGTGGTCTGACGACATTGTCATTCGCACGAATCATCAGTTTATGTTGTCGAGCGAATCTCCTGCAAACTGAAAACCACACTGTCGTCTCTGTTCCAACACTGATAGAGTTTTTCACTGGTATCATTGACATAAGTCCAGAGCGACACTCTTAGTTTCTTATGTTATTTTCGGTATTTTTCTGTTCACTAACCGAATAAACTCGTAGCACTCACTGTTTATCATCTTCTAGAGACTTTGCAGTGGCATTGGACAATAGCCATACAATCCACAAAGCTATGAACACGAGACTACTCAGAAAATAGATATTCAATATTTAACGCGGAGGAATACCTAACAATGGAGAAGGCGCGAACAAGGAATTGAATGGACTGGGTTTGATCTGATGGCATGGCTCGTCCATGCAGGCGTGGTCCATCTCAATGTTACTTTATATCTTCTATTCATATTAAATATATTGTTCTTTCTCTAGCCTAACCTTGTTCTACATCATGTATTGGTAATTGATACGATACAGTGAGTTGGTGTAGTCGATGGTGTGACTTCCACGTAAGATCTTATAGATTAGGCAGTTATATCATGACAAATCTACAAATTTAGGATTAGGTCTATTATTAGAGCAGTACTAATATCATAGTAGACCATAATTCTACATTGGTGAGCCCAACTAAAGAAACGCAACCTATTATTGTTAATCCTTATTTCCACCTTAACCTTCTCAATCGGTTTTTATTTATGTAAACCCAGTATTCTAATAGTCCTTTGATTAATGGTCACATATATTATCGTAATGTTATATCGATTAGTTCTTATAACTTACTAGCTCAATCGATAGTAAAAGTTGATCATCTATATCAACTAATTAGCTTTGATGGTTCGTTAACAAGCTTTAATAGCATTTACCTGCTTCAGCGACATAGACTTGTTTAAACATCAAGCTCTAGCAAATATGACCTGTCAATAGCGTAAATATACATTGACTAACAATGCAATCAAGGACTGAATAGTTAGTTAAATCTAATTCTTAGTGTTCTTTCACTTAACACCTCATCCTGTTTTAAACTACTCACTATCCTGTATTATCTTTTCTTCCGACCACTGCCTGCCTAATTTCAAATTTTCGAGTTCCATTGCCAAACAACAAGGATGACACTTCTCTAAAAACATACGGTGGGTTTCAGCCATAAGTTTTCTGCAATCATAAGGTCATTTTAGATGGCTCGTTCAACGGTGACCGCACAATTATCTTGATTCATTCGGTTGTTCTGATCCGAGCGAGTGGTAAAAACGTCAACAGCATCAAGCACCCTGGAATTAATTGCCATACTGCATGTTTTATTCTGGATACTTTTGGATCATTACTACTTCTTACGAATGGCGTTATATATGTCGTACACTGAATAATCTGATTTTCAAAAATAACCCAGGCGAGTTCAGTTATTTTACTTAATGATTTTTTTATACTTAACATGTATATGTTTTCCAGTTGCTCTTGCCATATATTTGTAAGTGTCCCTAGGCTAAATGCGGTTCATAACGCGTCATATTCCTGCCTGAAGTTTCACAAGCAGTCTTAACTTCGAAATTATTTATCTGGTCATGTTCATTATTTTTAAATTGTCATATACGTCAACAACCTGCTTGTTAACCTGGCCCGCACATACGTTACACGATATCTTCATGTCTTCTAAATTTAGGAATCATCTGAATCGCCTTTAACATTTATCAATAAACCCATCATAGTCGTTGTTGCTAATCGTATTTGGGTTTATGGATTGGTTTATCATATTAGCAGCCTAAAATGCGAACATAGTTTAGATAATAAGAATAAAAATTTAGGTACTATCAACTGCACTAGTAAAATAACTAAATCCCTAGGTAGCTGTTGGCTAAACAAACGTTTAAAATCAAAACTCCGTAGCCTACTAGAATTAACACTAAACGAATCTTTCTGAATTAAAATTTATAATTAAATTAGGCGTCTCGGATTTTTTGATGTTACAAATTTCTGACAATCTCGAATCACCTAAAGCAACAATATCTATTTTTCTAC